GGTGCCAAAAATATACGATGGAGAAAAGACAGCCTCTTCAACAAATGTTGCTGGGAAAAGTGGTTATCCACCTGCAAGAAACAAACTAGATCCATGTCTCTCACCCTGTACTAGTATCAACTCAAAATGGATCAAGGACCTAAATATCAGACCTGAAACTCTGAAGGTACTAAAGAAAGGAGCAGGAAACACTCTGGAACTAATAGGTATAGGCAAGGACTTCCTCAATAGAACCCCAGAAGCCCAGAAACTAAGAGAAAGGATGGACAAATAGGACTTCATAAAACTAAAAAGCTTCTGCACAACAAAAGAAATGGTCTCTAAACTGAAGAGAACACTCACAGAGTGGGAGAAAATATTTGCCAGCTATACATCAGACAAAGGATTGATAACCAGAATATATAGGGAACTTAAGAAGCTAGACTCTCCTAAAATCAATGAACCAATTAAAAAATGGGCAACTGAACTTAATAGAACTTTCTCAAAAGAAGAAATTCAAATGGCCAAAAAACACATGAAAAAATGCTCACCATCTCTAGCCAAAAAGGAAATGCAAATCAAAACCACACTAAGATTCCACTTCATCCCCATTAGAATAGCCATCATCAAAAACACCACCAACAACATGTGTTGGCGAGGATGTGGGAAAAAGGAACCCTAATCCACTGCTGGTGGGAATGCAAGCTTGAACAACCACTCTGGAAAAAAATTTGGAGACTTCTTAAAAATCTAAACATAGACCTGCCATATGACCCAGCAATCCCACTCCTGGGGACATACCCAAAGAAATGCAACACAGGTTACTCCAGAGGCACCTGGACACCCTTGTTTATTGCGGCACTGTTCACAATAGCTAAGTTATGGAAACAGCCAAGATGCCCCACTATTGATGAATGGATCAAGAAAATGTGGTACTTGTACACAATGGAATTTTACTCAGTCATGAAGAAGAATGAAATCTTATCATTTGCAGGTAAGTGGATGGAACTGGAGAACATCATTCTGAGCGATGTCAGCCAAACTCAGAAGACCAAAAATCATATGTTCTCCCTCAGATGCAGACTTTAGATCTAGGACAAATGCAGTAATGTGGTCGGACTTAGACCACAAGATAAGGGGAGAGCACATTTGGGTGATATAGATATAGGCAGAAAACCCAAAACATGAAAGCATTTGACGTCCCCAGTCGAGAGGAGCTAATACAGAAACCTTAAAGCAACTGAGGTTATCATGAGGAGGGGATCAGAAACCAGGGTAAAGATCAGTTAGAGATGAATCAACATGGGTCATAACACGTGTACACGAAAGCAATGCTAGGAATACTTCTGTATAGCTATCCTCAACTCAACTAGCAAAAACGCTTTGTCTTCCTTATTAGGCTTGTCTCTTTTCTTCAACAAAACTAGTGATAAAGGCAGAACAGGACCTGCCTGGAACTGAGGAGGGAAGGGGGAAGAGTGTGGAAGAGGGGGTAGGGGGGAGAAATGACCCAAACAGTGTATGCACATGTGAATAGAAGAGTAAAAAAAAATTTCCAGGAACAGGAAGTTCTGCAAACCTATGGCCTATACTCTGTGACTAACCCAGGCTGAGCCTCCCACCCCAGGCAGGAGAAATCGTCTCATGACTCAGAAGCAATTGCCTACCTCAAGCAATAATGATTTTCCCAGTACCAGCAGGACTCCAAAACCATCCTAAGATATTGATCAGCCAGACCACAGTTTGCCCAAGACTGCTTAAGTATGCATACTTCACCCCATGCTTTTGTCCTTCCCCTATATAATCCTAAAGCTTCTGTCAGGACCCTGAAGCAGAGCTTAGATGCTGGTCCCCGTTCCTTCACAAGACTTATATACTGAATAACTCCTTTCTTGCTTAAGTACCACTCATCTACTCAAGTTGGACCCTAAGATGTTTAGTGGCTGAATCTGGCCTGCTGGGGCCCCCAGAGTCAGGCCTCTGGTCTAGGATTCCAGTAACAATTACTACCTCTTCCTGAACTTTGAGTATTTGGTAGGTCTCTTGTGCTCAGTCTCTGACTCCACCACACTTCTGGATTCCTTTTCAAAGGGCTCTAGAAGATTGTATCTAGTGGCGCCCATAGGTAAACTCCCTCTCAAAAATCCTTGAAATTCCTGCTCCTAGGGACGGTCCCTCTGTCCTCTGCCACACCAGGCACATGGCTTCTCACATTTAGGCCTGGACCCCCAACTTCTATATTCCAGGACACACATATCAATTCTCAGAGTGGTTCCCTTAAAATTCTTCCCAAATAGTAAAGAAGGGGCATGCATCCCACAGCCAAATTAATCCTCTTTTCATCTCTTCAGGCCGGAGTTTTCAAGAACATAACTACTAATACTGGTTGAAACAAGTTTAGAGTCACTCAGAAGGTTCTACCTAGGTAGTTTAGCATCTTGCTTTAGGATGTGTGGTTTCTGGCAACTATTGAGTATTCTATCTTTATGGCTCTGGCAGAATGCTGGGACAAGCTGGACATGGTGGCTCAAGCCTATAATATCCCTGCTACTGAGGAGGCAGAGACCAAGATGATCACAGTTCAAGGTCAGCCAGGGTAAACAGTTAGTAAGACCCCATCTCAACAAATAAGCTAGGTGTGGAACTATTTATCTGTAATCCCAGCTACTGGGACGGCCATAGGTAGGAGGAGCTTGGTATAAAGATGGCCCTGGGGAAAAATGGGAGATTCTGTCTGGAAAAATAACTAAAGCAGAAAAGAGATAAGGGTGTGGCCTAAGTGGTAGAGTGCTTGCCCCAATAAGCACAGACCTCAGTACCATCAAAAAAATCTAGAACTGGAAAAGGGACTCATCCATCCATCACACAAAGGCCTGGAGGCTCTGTATCTGCATCCACCTCTCTCTGTACACTTGGGACCTTGGATGTACAAGTCTAGGTTTAGAATCAGAATAATAATGTCTTGCTTGCCAACTGTGTAGCCTTACTGCAAAGAACAAAAATCAAGATAGATGGACCAGTACTTAGTACTCAAAAAATCTATTCAAGAAAAATGTGACTTTCTATGAAGGTATAAGAATTTCAATTTAATCAGAAATTTCCTTTGTATCTATTACATGCTCTAAACCTGGTAGAAGAAGGACAAGACTTCCATGGTCATCAACAAAAAGACACAGAAAAGGTAAACTTTGCTCTAGTTTGTGTCTTTTATTAAGTCTAGCACTAGACCACTGTAATACAGAGAAACTAGGGTCAGAAATGTTTGTGACGCTACAACTTTCTCCCACAACCTCTATGCCTTTTGGAAATCAAAAACAAGTAATTTTTAAAGGCCAAAGATCTTAAGTACAAGCCAGATGACGCTTGCCTTGCCCAACTTTCTTTTGTTCTGATCATGGCCCATGCTCCAGACAGCATGGGTGTTTGGGAAGTGGGGAGGATGGCTATGACTGGGCAGGGCATCAGGCTTGAACTCCACCTGTATGCTGACTAATGACCAAGGTAGCTTGTACAGAGGGCAAGAGAGTCTGGAGGAAACAGGAAGCTCACATTGCCCCTGAAGTTTGGGCTACAGGGCAAGAGAAAAAGCTGAGCACAGAGAAACCAGAAACCATGTGTGCTCACACGTGTGAGAGACAGTAGGGTCCTGTAAGTTTCCTCATTCTACATCCAGCAGCTGGAGCTTCAGAATAAATCTTTTTTTTCAGACTATTCTTATTCTCTGTCTCTTGCAACTGTAAGAGAAAAGGATGGAATGACTCTGCCATGCTGATAATTCATTCCCAACACCCTGGAGAGCAGAGAATCTTCTAGACCAACTTCTGATGTAGAATTATGAATTTTAGGCTATTCTTATTTCAAAAACTAGTCTGAAAATAGTCCAACCTTTAGGGGAAGAATATGATACAAACACAGTCTTCTCACACTCACATCCATCCTTGTCAAATAACCAGCTCCTCAGGTCCAGAGACCATCTGCTAAGGCTGGGCTGAGTTTTCACCTAGCTCCGAAGCTTCTAGCACTGTAGAACACAATCTGGAGATCTTTCAGAAGTTGAGTTCCTGCCTCATATTGGTGGGACAGACACTCAAGTAAGCCAAGTAGCAACCCACTTGGGGAAATTCTTACACCATGAACATTCTTTTTGTAACTGGGTCATACAAATATTGTCAGACTATTAATAGCATTAATATTTTTGCAGCTCCACTAAGACAGGTACAAAAGACTTGAAATTTAGGACCTGGGTTCAAACTTTTGCTTTCCTACTTCCTGGTTGTGAGACTGAGTACGTTGTTTAACTTCTAGGAGTTTCTTTCCCCTCCCCTGTAATTCAGAGGGGATATAACACCTACCTCACAGGGCTGTTGAGGAGGATAAAGCCGCAGGATGCCACTGTGACAAAAGCAACCAATTCTGAGCACTTGCCATACACCAGTGCTAGAGTTTGGATGTTGAATTCTCCACCTCAAAGGTTTGGTTCCCAGTATGGTGAAATTGGGAAGTATCAGGGATCTTTTAAGAGGTGGGGCGCAATGGCAGTCATTGAGTCATTTGGAATGTGCCCTCAAAAGGGATTGGGGGAACCCAGTCTCCCGTCTTTCTCTGCCTCTTGGCTTAAAATGTGACTGCTCACCCTAACATGTACGCTCGCTGTAGTGTGCTGCCCTCACCAGAGACCCAAACAAGAAGAACCAGCTGAATTTGGACTTGAACCTCCAGAATCATGAGCCAAAATAAGTCTGTCTTTACCTCAACATAGCCTGGGTCAGGTATTTTATTATAGTGTCAGAAAAGCTGGCAAATACAGTCAGGCACTCTGTTAAGCACATCACTTGCTTTGAAGGAGGTACATTTTCCAGATAAGTTTGCTATGGACACAGAGGCTAAGTCCCCTGCCTAAATGAATAAGCTAGCTAATGAGGGCCGGTTCTGAAAAATGCCATCCCCTACCCCAATTGTTCATGTTTCCTTATAACAAGAATTCCAGACATAAATCAAAGGGATTAACAGCAGCTACTCACTGGAGGCTCGTCAATTCCAAGTCGCCGATATGTTGAGTTACACAGGTTTTTCACCTCCTCAGGACCCTCTAGATCATAATCTTTGGGAAAAGCTTCTCTTTCATAGTGCCTTAAAAAAATTAAAATTCTATTAAGGAGTAAATCTTATTTATCAAGCATTGCATTCCTGCCGGGGAGGGGGCATTGGTACCAGTGGGACGAGGGAGGTGATTCATGTAAGTAAATGGAAAAATGAGACCCATCTCATTTCATTTAAATTCCAGGAATGGGGGGTGGGATAAAGGAGAGTGATGGAGGGGGTGAATTCAAGTATGATATATTTGATCTATTGTGAGAACTTTTGTAAATGACACAATGTACCCCCACCCACCACAACAATAAGGGGAAAAAAGGAAGTTTACTATCTTTGTGCTATTAACTGAATTAAAAATTTACTGAATTTGACATATAAAGTATTTTCCATCTCTTTTCAAGTAGCCGAGGCTACCTCCTAAAAACCACTGAGAAAATTTGATAAATCCAATCATATTGGAAAAGCACTACTTCTCCAGCACAGTAATTATTCAGCAACTCCAATGAACTGAATCTTATTTAATAATGTAGATTAGTTACTGACAGCAAATTCTAAAATAAGACATGGTACTATCTTAGAAAGGCAACTTGCTACTTTAGAAACTCTTTCAACCAAGAATTTTAATTACAACTTTTTTCCCAAAATGAGACAGCAAAGTATTTGTTCATACTGATTGACAGAGTGTGTTCCCTGTTTCTAAAAAAGTGTTTCAAGGAGTCTGACAATTAACCATAAGCTAAAAACAAAAACACCAGTTCTTAACAAATGTATAAGGAAGAGAACAAGAAAAGTCACAAGAATCTTTACAAAAAGGGTGGCTGGGCATTATGTTTCAAAAGGAGGGATTTGGGAAAAGGAATGAAAAGGAAGTGTTGTGGTAAGTGGCTGTTTTCCCAGAGCTTTCTTCTTAGGTGACATTAAGGAAGATGAGACAGAGCATTCTTCAGATGGGCCTCCATTGAGGGATACAAGACTTAGGTTGTGTGAGAGACACTCGAGTACCCAAGAACTCATTCATCCATCCTGTTGTTCATCAGCAAATATTTTTAAGGACCAACTTGGTATGAATTAAATACTGTTCGTTCCCTCCGAAACTTAGGTTGAAATTTGATTGTTATGTGGCAGTGTTGGAAGGTGATTAATGCCTTTCTCTCTGGACAGGGTCAATTCTCACAGTAGTAAGCTCTCACTCAAAGGACTGGATTAGTAACCTAGAGAGTAGTTTGTTACACAGTGACACCATCTCTTGTGTGTGATCTCTTCTGGGCTTGCCTACTGTTCTTCCACATCTAAACAATGCTATGCAGCACAGGGTCCTTGCCAGTTGTGATCTACTGATCTTGGACGTCCAGCCTGCAGACCATGAGCTAAATGAACTTCTTTCCTTTATAAATTACCCAGACTCAGGTATTCTCCTACAGAAATAGAAAATGGACGGGGACACTATCACACATCAGGCATTTTGCTAGGTGCAGGAGATGCAATGGGAATGAGTCCAGTGGAGTCCTTTTGTTCAGTTATTTCCAGTCTGGCCAGACAGAGACAATTAAATAAGAAAAATCTAGAACTTCTTGGTAATCTACTAGCATTTTATGAGAGTCTAGCAGAAAGCTCTCACTTACATCCTTAGGGAGGATTCGAGCATCTTAAGAACCACAAGTGGTAGCATGAACAGGGCCACAAGTTTGAGTCCTTGTTCAGCCAGGTTCTAGCTGTGTGGCCTTGGGTAAGTCACTTTACCTTTCTGTGCTTTCATCTTCAGATGTGTAAAATCATTAGAGAAATAATACTTTTTAAAGATTTTTACAGGAATGAAAACAAAAAGCAAAGGAGAAAGGGCCTTCACATACTGCAAATCATCACAGATATCTCTGCAAAGTGAACACTATCAGCCTTCAAAATCTGGAGCATGACAATTGCAGCTTCATTTTCCATGAATGGATTTAATTTTTCTTCCAAGCTCTCATTTGGCCAGGTGGAAGAAAGCTTTAATATTGGTCAAGTCAAGTTTCCTTCCAGTTGTGAGAGGGTTTGTGTGGTACCAAGACACCAAGACTCCATCTGTATGCCATGGTTTCTCCTTGCCTGCATCCGCAGAAACATCCCCTCTCTGTGGTCCTCCAGCATCCTTCAGCATTCACAATGCCAAACGTTTTGTCATGTATCTGCAGAACACTAGTGTGTCTGCTTTTGAGAAATGTCTTCTAGGTTATTGACCATGTTTTAATTGGGTTAGTTTTTGCTGTAATTTTTTAGATCTTTATATATTCTGAATATTAACCCTCTTGTCAGATGGATAGATAATGGATACCAAATATTTTCTCCCGTTCTGTAAGGCTGTCTCTTCACTCTATTGTCTCCATTGTTGTTCAGAAATTTTCAGTTTAATATAATCCATTTGTTTGTTTGTACTTTTGTTTTCTGTGCTTTCAGAATCTTGCTCAAAAAAATACTTGCCCATCAAAGTTTCCTGAACCATTTCCCGTTTCATTCTAGTACTTTCATTTCATGTTACATTTAAATCTTTAATCCATTTAAGATGATTATGGTAATTGGAGATAGGGATCTAGTTTCATTCTTCTCCACATGGACATCCAATTCTCCCAGCACCATTTATTGAAAAGACAATCCTTTCTCAAGTATTTTTTTAAATGCTGCTATTAATTCCCTAAATCAAATTCACAGTACATTAATGGGTTGAGACCAGCAGTTCTCAGTGGAGTCTGGAGACTCTCAATTTCTGCTCTCTATTCCTACAGACAATGCAGACATTTTCTTGCAGCATCTGAGGCTGGCATGGTGACACATGTCTATAATTGCAGCTACTCAGGAGGCTGACGCAAAAGGATCACCAGTTCAAGGCCAGCCTGAGCTACATAGTGAGGTTCCTTCTCAAACAACAACAACAAAAAAACTCCCCAGACCTTTAGTTGTGGCATCTAGAAAGTAGCTGTCAGGGATACTTTAAACCACCTGAGAATGCCCAGGCAGCCATCCACAGCAAGGACATACCTGGTCCCAAATCCCATTAGCACTGAGGTTGAGAAAGCTGTGGGTAATAGCTGCATCATACTCCGCAATCAATGGTTCCCAAAACAGCGCTTCATGCAACAGCCAAACTTCCCACAGTGCAGGTGGGACCAATATAAAGCTGACAGCTGTTTATTTTGACAAGAACATTTAAAATAAAAGAATCATCTATCACCTTTAATAATAAGATCTTGAACACAAAACAATCCCACAGTCCCTTTAAACTGGATAAATTTAGCAGTGTGAAAATGTGCTGTATTGTCATTACAGTTTATATGTCACTGTGGATTAGGACAAAAATATCATCCTTGACCAACCCTGGTCAGGTCTGTAGTCATTTTCAGATATTAATCCATCCAGGCATGAATTTGACAGCAGTTGGTTCAAGGCCAAAGATCCTGAATATATGTAGGCCATGCTATTGACTAATGGAAGAGCTGTGTCTTCAAGGACAGGTGGTAGGAACAGACTGACATTCCTGCTGGGAGGAGGGTTCACTGGACCTCTTGTCAATAGTGCCAGAATTTTCCTTAAGAAAAATCTTGCTTCTGCTAAAGACCTTGTCTACTAAGAGCCCGGAGCTGAATGCTATGGCTGCTTCCTTAAATGAAGCATCCTTACAGAAGGCCATTGTTTTGGACTTTTTCTGCACTAGGTCCCAGCAGTCCAGACTAAATTAGAATGGAATCACTGTACTAAATGCTACATAATCCATAAGGATGTTCCCTCTGTCTTAACCCTATAAAGAAAATAACTGAAATGATCAATCTACTTCTTACTCTGTTTCTTCTTTCTTCAATCTTTTTCTGCATAGAAAGTCAATTTCTTCTGCCGTACTCAATGGAGCACTTACCTTATTTCCTAGAAAGAGATATTGCCCGATTCTAGAGTTTCAAGTAAAAGTCAATTCAATCTTTGCACTAAATTTGTTGTAATTCTGGATTTTAACACCATGAATAGAATTAGGAATGGGGAGGGGGCTAATAGGACAGAATCCAAGCTGTAAAGTATAAGCTTGAAATTCTGACCCCATAGTCAAAAATTTGTAAGAATTTAAAGTGGATTTAGGTCAATAGACTTCAGCAGGGCAAAGACCACAAGAAGCAGGTCCCAGCATACCCAGTTGTATACAGCTTCCAGCCACCAGCCCTACAGTCACCCAAGCTCTCCAGATCACAATCTTCCTGTCTCCACCTGGGGCCTGGCACAGTGTCATGACTTGACAAGGGGATCTGTTAGGTCAGTTTCTGGGACCCTTTGGGAGCTTGGATATTCTTCCCGCTAAAGAGTAGCATTATTCCACATTGAATCATATCTATAAGCCCCCTCTTAAGTAAGCATAATATGATTCCCCAAGTGAGTTTCAGACCTGAACAAACTTGAATACAGATCTGCAGGCCAGGCCAGAGGGACCCAGCTCCCTGTCTATGGAGGACAGGGTGGAGTTAGGACACAAGATTCTCCTCACAAGAAAGGTGACAAGCTGCACTTTGGGGTATCCATGGTCCCATGTCCATGCAAGGGAAACAAAATGGGGTTTGCAGAGAAAACACGGCACCATTTCACCTTGTCTTAAAATCATCCATGAAAGTATGTGCCTTCTCTTTAGACTAGGAACTTCTCAGATGCAGGGATTATTTTTTATTCATCTATGTGATCTCAGTGATGAGCATAGCCTGACACACTGTAAATGCTCATTAAATCTTTCTTGATTGATTGATCAACTAAATATTCCTACATTTTCTTACTGTCACTGTAAATGCTGAAAGCAAAAGCATTCAAATGTGTCCATGAAGATAAAGAGTATCGTGGCTCAGCCTGCAAAAGCACAGACAGAGAAGGAGTGGTCACGCATATAGACAAGCTAGTTCTTTGCAACACTACCTTGTCTCCAGAGGAATTATAAATATATTTGCTGGATGGGAGGATTCTCATATATACATATGCATCACACTGATTACAGTGGGGTTTGGATCTGAGCAATATCTGACATAAGAACAATAAAA